AAAATTAACGTTAACTTGTCGTCATTTTTTTTTTTTTTTTTTTTCATATTTTTTATTCTCCCGACGGACGGTAAGTACGTACGTATTTTGGTTGCGCAACACGGTCGTTATAGAAGATTTCGATTTGTCCTTGCGGACATGTATCGAGATTCTCCGCGCACGAATCGAGCGGCACGCAATATTCGACAAATTGAAGTAGAGAATACTCGTGCATTTTCTCTCTCGAGTCGAGTAAAAAGTGGCAAATCACTCGACGAATCCATCGGTTGATAGTTGGACGGTGGTATAATGGCCATGTTTTATGCGAGTAACGTGCCGGCCGGTGACCAACGCTGCTACAGAAATACGTCTATTTGCGTGGCCGGTCACGTGACGAATTTGCGCGCGGCGTAAAACGCGGAACGATGTCGTTCGGAATCCGAATACTTTGCCTGCAATATTTGTTTCCAAGAGTCGAATAGCGTTGTATCGTTAATTCGTACGAAGCGAAGAAAAATTTCAAAGTTTCTTTCCCTTCGAAACTCGATATTATAACAACAGTTGCCAATCAAGCCCTTTTTTTCCTCTCTCGTCCCGTTGGAAAAACGAATTTTTTGCTGGATAGAAACGGATGAGCGAAATTTGTCGCTCGATTAGAAAGATAACGAGTCGTTCATTACGATATTGGAGATAAAAATCGGACTGTTAGTCGGTCGACGATTTCGTCCCAAATTAAAGCTGAATTTACACTTTTTCACTTTGAACGTTCATCGCGGATAATTTATCTACGATGAATCCGAAGGAAGAAAGCTGGAATAATTATCCTCGTTCAATGATCGAAATCAATTCACTAATTTTCAATTCTTTGTGCACGATTTTATTATTCCAAAGACGCTCGTCATTTCGATACGTCTTCAAAAATATTTCCATGCGCTTATTAAACTTTGCTCACACGATTATTCGGCAAAATTGCGCGTTAAATAGCTATCCATTTATTATTGAACTTAGTTTAGACCTGTCATTGCCACTCCGCCACAATTACTCATTCATCAAAAGCAAAGCTCTATTTTGTTCACTTTGGATGAAAACTTTACATCTTTCGTTATGAATCATTCATGATATCCACATCCAAAGTATGAAAAGTATGAAATTTTAAATTCGCCTTAAAGAGTTTTTCGAGATGCATAATGCAAATTCGATCTCGTCAGATATCTCCCGTTTATTCCAGCTTTTCGAATTCGTGATTTGGAATAGAATGTTGCCACTTTCGAAAGAAAGTGAATCCCGACGGAGGGATGATTCGGTGAGAAGTTGAACGCGTAGCGCGAAATAAAGCTCTGTACAAGATAGAATCGATGGATAACTCTGAACCTGGAGAGGGGGGGGGGGGGGCGTCTAGTTTCGTCGAGAGACGTTGAACGGAGAATAATGGTTACGCGTCACGAACCGGTGCAGAAGCCTTCGAGAGTAATGGAAGCTCGGATTAATCTTATGCAAAACATCGAGAAGAGTCGACCGAGTCTGCCTCTTTTTTTCTCTCTCTCTCTCTCTTTTATCTTTCGATTTCGTTTATCCGGTCAACGTGGGCTACTGAATTTCAACCGACCAAATACTTTTTATCCGCTTATACGATAAAGGTAAACCGTGAATGAATGCTCGATATCGTGCTTTTTTTTTCTTTCTTCTTTCTCTTCTTCCTTCTCTCTCCCTTTTCTTTTCACTCTTCCATTTGATCGCGGTTTCTTTTTCATCGATGCGTCAGTTTGTTGTTCGATTGCCTCCGCTCGATCGAAGTTTTAAACGTTCTTCTTCCTTTTCCCGTCCGAAGACGAAACGTCTTGCGACCGATGTAGAAGGAGAGGGGCGGATGGAAAAGCTGTTATTCTTCTCGAATAGTAGGCCAACTTTTCGTGCGCGACGATTCACCTATCCTTTTATCTTATAATTATATTATTTCAAATTATTTTACACGCATTCGAATCTTTCTCTCTAAATGACTTTAAAAATATATATATATATATATATTACGACGGATCGTTTTTCGATCCGATATTCCTTTGAACGGGAATGAAAAGGATGGAAGTGGTTCGTTTTCTAAAGTGGTAGGGAAGAACCTGGCGGCAGACGATGGGACGCGCGGTGAAAGAGAAACACGGATAACAAAGCGTCGCGGGCCAATCTGCATGCCCGGGAAACCCCGGATTTCATCGGTGAAAAGTCCTCCTCTCGTGCGTGATTGTATTTCCTCCCGTTCGGGAACAAAGGTGTATAGGAGACAGAAGGTACAGGAGAAAAGGGGGACGATCTTGTCGGACAGTTTGGACTTTCGTATCGGGCGGGGAGAGGGCGCCTCTTCGCGGTTAATCCTTTTCAGTTTTCGAACCCTCTCCACGCATGGTCGTCGCTCTAATTGGCTATCGGTTGAAGGAATTGGAAAGGTCGAGTGCCACGGAATATACAAACATCTCGATATTTCTCGTTTATTCGTTTTGATCCGTTTCGAGATATGTGTGTGTGTGTGTGTGTGTGTGTGTGTGTGTGTGTTAACTATATAGAGAAGGACGAAAGGATGTAAAGCGCGAGAGAAAGAAAGAAAGAAAGAAAAAAAAACCGACGGTGAAGCGATAAAAGGGAAAATAATGGAATGGTTGTTGTTTCGATGTTTTGCAGATGACAGTGGTACAGCGGGCAGCGACGACGGGGTACAGTTGGTAGTGGCGTGGAGAGCGCACCGCGCGAGAGGAGCGGAAGATAACTCGGAAGAGGCGGGTGGGGAGGAACGAGGGAGGAGGAGGAGGAGGAGGCGGAGGAGGGGGTGGAGACGGAGGAGGAGAAAGAAGTGGGAAGACTGGCGGAGATAAGAAGACGAAAGAGGAGAAAGGGAAGGAGGAAGCAGGCAGCGGGAAGGGGAAAAGGGGGAAGGGGAGTGGGGAGAGAGGAGGAGGAGGCCGGTCTCGTAGAGGGGCATCGTCAACGGATTTTCCGGTAATTGGGGATATCGTCGAACTTTGGGGGGCTGTGAAGGTCGCTGATGTCCGCTACGAGCCCTGCCCCTACCCCTGCCACCAGCTCGCCGTCACCCGAACAACAACAACAACAACGGAAGAGGTGGAGAAGGAGGAGGAGGAGGAGCGGAGAAGGAGGAGGAAGACCGGACGCCGCGCCGCGACCGACGCCGGGGAAACTCGCGCCACTCCTCACCTTATCCTTTGATCCGGGAAGGAAGAATATCTTTTACCAGCCTCGCCGACCACCACCAAACGTTCTCTCCATCCATACTTCGCTATTACTGCTGCTGTATCACCGATCAGCTCGACCACCCCTCTGAATGTCTTCGCACATCCAAAAGTCGTGCGTGGTGAGGATACTGTTTCACTTGCCTTCCCCTCTCTCCCCACCTTCCTTCTTCCTCTACATAGACATAGAGAAAGAGAAAGAGAGAGAGAGAGAGAGAGAGTGAGATTCGTTTCACCCAGAGAAGGG